TCTCTCCCCTCCTCAGCTTTACCAAGGAGAGAAAATATGAAAAGCTTCTGGGTTGAGATAAGGACAGGGAAGGATCACTCACCAATTACCGTCATGGGCAAAACACACTTGACTTGGAGAAAATTAACTGAATTTAATTTATTACCAACCAAATCAGAGTACGATAATGAGAAAACCAAAACTGGAAAACACCTTTCCCTACCCCTCCCTTCTTCCAGGGCTCAACTTCACTCACAATTTCTCTACCTTCTCACCCCAGAAGCACAGGGAGATGGGCAATAGGTGTTGCAGTCAGTTTATGATCCATTGTTTCTGCTGCTCCTTCCTCCTCAGAGGGAGGACTCCTCACACTCTTCCTCTGCTCCAGCATGGGGTCCCTCCCACAGGAGGCAGTCATCCACAAACTTCTCCAATGTGAGCCCTTCCCACGGGCAGCAGTCCTTCACAAACTGTTCCAGCGTGGGTCCCTTCCACGGGCTGCAGTCCTTCAGGGAGAGACTGCTCCAGTTTGTGTCCCCTGTGGGTTACAAGTCCCGCCAGCAAACCTGCTCCAGCGTGGGCTCCTCTCTCCACAGGTTCACGGGTCCTGCCAGGAGCCTGCTCCAGTGCAGGCTCTCCACAGGGCCACAGCCTCCTTTGGGTGCATCCCCTTGCTCTGGCATGGGGTCCTCCACGGGCTGCAGGTGGATATCTGCTCTATTGTTAGCCTCCACGGGCTGCAGTGGCACAGCCTGCCTCACCACAGATTGCACCACAAGCTGTAGGGCAATCTCTGCTCCAGCGCCTGGAGCACCTCCTCCCCTCCTTCAGTGACCTTGGTGTTTGCAGACTTGTTTCTCTCAAATATTCTCACTCTACCAGCTGCAATTGCTCTCCTACAGTTGTCTGTTTTTTTTTTTTTTCCTTCTTAAATATCACAGAATGTAGAGGTGCTACCACTACTGTTGATGGGCTCAGCCTTGACCAGCAGCGGGTCTGACTTGAAGCCAGCTGGCACTGGCTCCATCGGACACAGGGGAAGCTTCTAGCAGATTCTCACAGAAGCCACCCCTATAGCCTCCCTGCTACCACACCTTGTCATGCAAACCCAATACAACTTATGTCTCACTAGCCTTCAAGAGGTAGTGTCCTACCTGTTGGAATTGAGCTTCTTCCTGGAATTAGACCAAAGGCTTCCCCCAAACAGAATGGGTTAATCAGATTAGGAAGTTGAAATAATTGAGTGTGAATGGATGTGTTGTCCTTCAGTGTTCTTTCACAACTGCAAGAAATTTGCCTTAGACCTAATAGTCTGACACAAGACCAAGGCTCAGAAAGACCAGCATATTTGTAAATACACAATAATGGATCAAAACGGGATTTCAACTTTTTATTATTAGGCTTTTGTTTTGCTACTTGACAAAGAAATTTGCCAGGATGCTCAGTGGTATGTTTTAAAGACCTACACATTCTTAACTCTTCTAGAATTGCATGCAGTGACTGATAACACCCTCAGTTACAATAGATATATTTTAAATTTAGTCTAAGGTAAATAGTATAGCAGTTCTATTTTTGAAAGATAAGACTTTTTGTAAAAAGACAGCAAAGTTTCCAGTTTAATCTTTAAATCTTGCAGGTTTTATCACTACAGGTACAGTGCAGCAACAAATGAAATCAGCATCTCATCTACATCCTATGACTGCAATATAATTCACATTTTATAAATTGAAGATACATTTTTAAAGCAATTTGATCCAGGTCATCCTCTGGGCACCTGTGGAAAAGGTTTTCAACACTGTTTTTTCTTTCTTGAACAGCACATTCCTTTGAAATGCGCTTTTTCTTAGAAAGAGGTGTTCTCAGTTTTCAGGACTGTACTTGGATGTTGTGATGTCTTGCCCCATCAGCTCAGTCATATTCCATCGACTTTCATTTTATAATGTGAACTGAATGTTTATTTCCTTTTTTATTAAAAAAGGAAGATACTACAACACACTTGCAATGCTTCTGCCTGCAATGAGAAAGCATTTGCAATTGCAAGGATAACATTACCTGCAAGGGACATGTAACCTCCTCTCATTTCTGTACTGATAATGTAGGACTTTTATTAGTCTTCCTATCTGTTTCATACAGAATTTGCAGTGACAGCTTCCTAGATTCCATGGGAACTAGTAGCAAAAACTTACTTATAACCACTGACAATTTGGGAAACTGCCTCAAAACAGAAATTGCAGAAAGGTTATTCATAAGAACATGGAAGGGACAAATGTGAGACCAATGAGTTAATCTGCTCAGTAATGCAGATGTTTATACACTACTCCAAGAAGCAAAGTACAAGAAGCACAGCTAGAATACTAATATAAGAAGGAATGGCATGTTCAGGAAGGACAGGTAGGGAATGGAATTCAACAAGAACAGATGAAAAATCCTGTATGTTAAAGGAATGACCACATGCACAGATATGGTATGAAACTGTCTAAATTGGCAGAAGTACAGAAAAGCAACACAGAAAAGATCTGTATGTTAGTGTGTATCTCATGATGAGTATAATTTCAGCAGTGTCATGATGGTGAGGAAAAAACAAAAAAGACTTAACACAAAAGCAAGCTCTGAAAGGAGTACTGTCTCTGAAACACATGAAGCCATTATTTTGATTTCTACAGCACAGCACTCAGATGCGATGTAGTACCCAGTCTGGCATTTCAAAGAAGATAGGTACCAACTAGAAAGGTTCCAGAGCAAAATGACAAACTGGATCTGAGAGTAGAAAATTCAAAGGAAAAACGATTCTAGTTTAGCAGGGAGGAAACCAAGGACAAATATGGCATCTATCTTCAAAACATAGAAGGACAGCTAAAAAGGAGAACTTCCACCTATCAATTAGAAATAGATAAAGGAGTAATGGATTAGACAACACAAAGGCTGATTTAGGTTAGATCAAAAACAAAAATAAGGCTATTTAAGCTCTGAAATAGAATGTTTGGGGCAACTGTGAAATCACTATCCACAGGAACTGCACAGGTATATCCGATTCTGCTCTCAGGCAGGGAGGATGAGCTGGGTGACTGCTCAAAGACCTTTATTGCCTTGTTTCTATGATTTCTATGATTCTATTCTAGCTCCCTCAAGGATGGGAATGAAATGTGAAATATCTCTATCATTACAGGTAATGGCAGGCAAAAATGACAAGTAATACATGTATAAGAGCAAAAGAGCAACACAAAGAAATACAGTAACTGATAAAACTCTCCAAACATTGCAATATACATCCACATTTTTCCCCCCATCAATACCTCTAATTTCATAGATATTGACTATCATAGATATTTGAGATATAAAGTCTCAATATTTTGACTAATTATCAGTGTGATCTTGTACATTCCCTTGAGCAGACAATATATAAAGGAAGACCAGCCTTTTTAATTGAATTTAAAACACGTTTTAAAGTTAATGAAATTAATGAAAATAAATGTTTCAATTTATTTTTCTTATCCATAACAAAATAAACCTCAAAAACATAAGATATTTAAATACTACCCTTCAACCCTTTCAATTCCTAGTAGACTTGAAAGGACCTATCTTGGAAGAAATAAAAGGAGTACCTGTGATAAAGCTATACATTTTAATGCTCTAACAAAACACTGCAACCACTTCATCTTATCTGACACACATACAATTTCCCCCCTACTGTAAGTAATACCAGATGTACCAGAGTCCTTAGCACTGTGTCCCACCATTTTATTTCTCCATCAATGAGAAAAACTGCATCTTAGTTTTAGTTAGACTTTTTTTTACTTTAGTCATACATTTCACTGTGATTATTTCCAGACTATGATTCTGCAACATTAGTAAGTTTTGTATCACACACAGCCACATCCCTTCCCTTTTTCCCAAATGAGAGCAATACATATTACATATATGTACGTAATATGGATGTATTTAGGGGCATGACAAGAGATCTAGTTTGTTTAGTCAAATGTCAAATGAGAAATTCACCTATTCAGTCATAAAGATTTTAAAATACAAAAATAACGACAGAAAAATCATGGCTTTGACTAAGTCACCCCCAAATTCGGCCTCAGAAAAAAGGAACGTACAAACTTTATTTTTTAATTTAAATTAAGGCTGTGTGCTTTAAAGGATTGTTTTCCCAGGAATTTAAAAAATGGTTCTTCTATTCCTTGCTGAAACTTCTTATCCATCTCATTATAAATCAAGAATATGCTTCATGTTCAAACTATAGCACAAAAAAAAGTTATGCCTAGAACATTTGCCATTTAACTTTTTGTCTTAATACATTTTAGTTATTTAAGTATTAATAAAATTTCTGATCATATGACTTAAAAGTAAACCTATTTAGCATTAAAATTACATTATTCTTTCTACCATCTTGCAAGCACTAATTGATTCTCGTAACAGTCACGGAAGGTAAGAAGGCACTATTATCCTAGTTTTATCCAAAGGGAAAACTGAGGTAAGGAAATGTAACTACTTGCACAGTGTCACATCTTGTGTCACTCAGGCCTGAAATCAGACCATGATTCTGTACTTCAGGCATATAATTTACTTTTAAAAGTTTTTGTAGGATTTAGGAATCTGTCTTAAAGCAACTGTTTTACCATTTCTTTGGGAGATTATATCAGAAAGCGCTAGATCTGTGCTCCCTGGAAGCCTATGTACAACTACATATTTGCTTTTAAAAAATTCCAAAACATGGACAAAACCCAAAAAAAGTCAGTAGATACTTAATATATAATCACATCCAAAACAATTACCTAACAAGTTGTTAGGCACAAATTTACAGTGGTACAAGAAAAATTAAAGTTGTGTTGAACATTTGCGACAGCGCAGCATATTTGCTTAACAAGTCCTGTGACAGAGAATGTTAAAAGTACCCCAGGGAATTATAAAATTGTGTTGGCACAGCTGATTTTGAAGGGCTTTCTCTGTCTCTTGTCTTTCTATTCCAATTCCCCTACTTCCTGTACATCTGTCATGGTTAAAACAAATGTAAGACATACCTTAATTGTACTTGTGTGTGCACCAGGATATTCTTTTTCCTCTAGTGTTGACCAACGTTGTATAAATTTTGACACCAGAGGATCATCATAATCAACGATCTGAAATCCTGAGACATTAGCTCCTCCAAACTGAATTTTTGACAAATCTCCATCAGTAAATCCCTGGGCATAGAAAACATTATGCCTATTATTCCAACAGTTTTGGCAGATATCTCAATAGTATATACATATAAAGTTACCATATGACTTCTTTTGCAGAAGCATAAACGAATGTTTTCTTCAAACAGGATCCAAGTTTAAATCCTGGGATGCCAGGATTAAGTCATCAGCTCCAGCAGCCAGTAATGCCTCCTGTTGCTAACTAGACATACACCTTTACAGAGCAAGGGCTGAGTGGATCTGTCGTTGTCATGCTTACTTTCCTAAAAATCCTGTTAATTCCAATAGGACTGCTTAAATGAGAAAGGCAACACTGACATAAGTAAAAGTTACCAAGCATGTTTTAGCCAGGAATAGTTACAGTCATAGGGGTGTCCTCTTTTTGTTAGGAATACTAAAGCACATGGAAGGATTTATCTCCTCTGCCTCCTCCTTCCGGTATAAAGAACGACTTCTCATTCTTACAAACTGTACATATGGTTTCTTTTCCATGTTTTTTATTTTACCTTCCCCAAATAACCATACAAATGAATTTACATGAAATACTGATAAAAAGAATTAGCAACTTCAGACTGTACTATCAGAAGTTGCTACAACTGCTATACTAGGTGCTCTTTAATTATTGCATACTAATGATACTCATCAGCGATGTGCTTTTGCATGCTAACACTGTTACTTCCACAGGGATCATTAAACTTTCTTCAATATTATTATGAGTTTGATGTTTGAATGGAAACATTCATTGTATACTTTCACCTCGTCTCTCTCTATCCGCATGTTTTATTCTTAAAATAGATTGATTTCTTGACTGACTGATGAGACTCGTGGAGAACAATATTACCATCAAGAAAAGAAGGTGAATTCAGTGAAGAAGATCAGATATGATCAAGTACTAGATAAGTTTTTCTTCTAACAGAGAAATACACAGTTTAAAAATAATTACTATATTTTATATTATACAAAAGATCTGCAATGCTTGCAGCAAAACTGTATAAATTTGTAAGAAGCAAATATGATATTAACAGCTTTAAAATACAAGATTCAATAATTTTTTGATCTTATAGGCTTACTGTTAAAACCATAGCTAAAACGGCAACTAGTTAACATAATGAAATACACTAGGTGATTTTTCTAAAATGTTTATTTCCCTTAAGACTCAAAATACTATTTATACACTTGCAATGCAAAATACCATATACAGTTAGGGAACACAGTAAGGGAATTTTTCAAATTTTGTAAGACTTTTATGCTTGCTTTGTGAATATCAATACCTTAATTTCTTTATCCTAAAGATTAATGTTAATAAACATAAAAATGAAACTCCACTGTTCTGCTTTTAAAGAGTATAAGGCTTCTCCATGCCTGTCTAGCAACATACATGATTCTTCCAAACACTGCCCACTCAGAGGGGGAAGTGTTTTCATTAAAGGTTGGGAGGAGACAGAAGTTGTGTCTGAAGTGTGACAGACACACTATGGTCGTTTTGTTTCTTTAGGCCCCTTAAAGGACTATGGAATACAGAGTATATATTAGAGCACTCTGGGCTCTGCTGGAATGTATACCAAATGTTATCACAGTCCAACAATGAACGATGAAAAAAAATTATTTAGAGGCACTCACACCATGCAACCCCCAAAACTCTTTTCTGGAACAGAATTTGCTTTGTCTGTTACAAAAAAAAATAATCATTGGAGTACATTTCCTAGCTTCAGTAAATAAGTGTTGCTGACTTTAATGTCAGTAAAATGGCCCTTCACCTTTAGACACAATTTCAAAATTACCTTAAGAGAATTTAATGAGTTTATTGAACTTTCCCTCTTAAGAACACTATTAGCTATACTGTCTGATCACCTGTGTTCAATAAGAGATTAATTCAAACTGATTACAAACCAATCTGAGGAATGAAGATGTGTAAAGCTGAAATCACTAGTCTAACAGAATGAAAGCTAGGAACTGTGATTTTTAAGTACTTGGAGATGAGAGAAGAAACATTAATTTGCTGAATGAATGTATCAGTCTACAATGCAGAAAGTTATTTTTCTGATTTCCATACCTACTTTTCTAAAGTATGTAGAAAAATGGATGAAGCTCTACTTAAGGTGCTAAGCAACCCTCACTCCTATTGAGGGCAATCTCACAGGAGGCAATTTAAGCCCTGAAAAGACTCAACCAATAAAACAAATACCATCTCAACACATGCATTCATTTAGAAAGGATAAAGACATTTAGCTTTTTTCTATTTTCTAAAATGCAATTAAAACAAAATACTAGTTGATGTGCTTCCATAAACAGTAAAATGAGTAATACAGGTATTTTAAATATTAAAAATGCTTACCAGATTTGCAATGATATAATGGTATCCTTTAACATGTTTACCAATTGTGATAACCTGTAAAAAAGAAGAAATATCCCTGTAATGGAGAATTTTCACCTGACATATGGACTGAAACTTAACTGCAAAATCCAGTATGATGTAGAACCTAGTTATGACTTATAGGGTATGCAATACTGAGTTTGTTCTTTTTTTAAAATATTTTTATCTCATTAACAACTTGACACACTCTCTGCTGGTGGAAATTAGTTCTGTTGAAATCCAAGTTCCAAGATCTGTAAACAGAGGAGCTGAATGCTCATTACTATGTTGTGCCTTAACTAGACAGGATAGAGTGGGCATCATGCAGTAGAAGCACTGTGTCTCAGAGATTCCTGCTTAGATTCTGCTCCCTCTGTAGCAGAATTGTAATGTTCCTTGAACTAGAAAAAGTTTAAAAGACTACCAACATTAATGAAAGCATCTACATTATGAGAAAGTCTTTTTAAAGTTCAAATTGTTGCTTATTACCCTAAGGCTTCCTCATAATCTCCCTCAAAGCCAGCTGGTGGTTTCTCAGCAGTCTCCACTGGCAAGCATGTAGCATAGATTCTTCTCCCAGGTAAGACTAATTAAGACTATGTCTGCATGGGGAAGTTTACATTTTGAAGCAAAACACTTCTCCAGAGAAAGGATGTGAGAGATAAAAGGACTATAGAGGTTTCCTCCATCTTTTGAACAATGAGAACAACTTAAGAGAAGATGATTCATTTATTTCCTCATTTGGCATAACTGAAATATTCAGAATAGGTATCCTCTAACTTATATCAGGCTAATAGTGAACGACATTCCACATACTTGCTTTAATGAAGTTACAGAAATATAACTGAAGGCAGTGTCTAACAGTTTTATATCACTAGAGTTTAAGACTGAGAGGATCACATTACATAGGCCATAGAAGTTATTATTCCTCTTTTGAGCTCAATATATACATGATATATAAACTTAATTATTTTAAAACAGTTACTTGGTTCAAACTACTTAAAACTCATTACTTATTAAAAGGTTTAAGAACTGTATTCAGATGTATTTCTTATGCAGCTGCTGCTTCCAAAGAAACTTCAGTTAGACCAAATAGATCAGATCTTCTGCATAAAAATGCTTCTTCATCACTGATATCTGAGAAAATGACCAGCAGCTGCAAGTCTTTGTCAATGGTTAGTAACTCCTCTCTAACTGACACTAGGTACTATTTCATTAATCTAGGTCTCTAAAACATTGCCCTGTGCCACTCATCCATACAAACACTAAGGATGCTGCCAGTTAAAACTCTGAGAAGATCAGTGATGGCTCCAAAAGCCATGATGAAGGAGCTGTGGATCCAAAAGGTATTCAGCAGTGTCTCTAGTTTACACTAGCATCTCAGGCAGGGATGGAGAAGAAGTGGCAGTAATTGCATGGCTGCCCAAAGGGGGAAATGAGATTCTACAAAGGAATCTGGCTGAGAAGAGACAGAGGCTATATAACAAAGAGCATGGTAACACTGACCTGCCAAATCAGAGAAGAGCAATATAAACTAGTCTGAGGAGAGCTGGAGAACTGAAATATTTTTCAACTTCAATTTACATAAATTGTTGAAAACTGGAAGAGAAACTGTAACATGAGACAAAACCCAAGAATGATGAAGCAACTTTGCAAACACATCACATGTCTATACAAGGATTCACTGTCTAAAGAGAATAATTGGGTGAACCTGAGGTTGCCACCACAGCTTAAAATGTTAGTGGGATAAAACAAGGCACTACAATGAAGGTTTGCTCAAGAATAGAAAGCAAGGCAGAAAGTAAAGAAGTTGCTGCTCTGTATATCAAGAAAGCAAATAATACCTCAGTATTCAAGAAAAGTCTTATGAACAGAAAGCTTGTTGCATGTCTCAGTGAAAATTCACAGAAAAAGAAAAGGAATACTGATACAAAGGGTCTACTTCAGGCACCCTCATGAAAAGAAGGAAATGAGGGTTTTTTTTGGGCCAGGAATTAAAGAATTTTTTAAAAAGAATAAATCTGCTAGCAAAGCAAGACTTGAAGTATATATTCTGCTTTCAAAAAAGAAATCAAAGGATACTCAAAGATACTTCAAAGGATACTCACAGACCCAGAAACACATTGTTCAAGCACAGACCTTCATTTTAAGAGTTGGAAAAATTAATAAAGTTACTTTAGATTTTATTTTAGGCTACTTGAGAAATTGAAAGTGGGTTTACTTTTTTATGTAAGGAAGGGAAGTTACAGAAACAGAGCGTAAGGATAATGGACTTTAAAACCAAAGCAAACTCCAGAAACTGCTATGGCATATTACAAAGATAATTTCAAGGCTAAACCCATATGAGACAGCTAACAGCAATTTAAGAGATGATATTCTAGGGCATAGCAATAAACTATTTTGAGTAGAACAACTAACTGAGTTATATTAACTGACCTGTGTGGCTGATCCATTTGTCTAGAATTCTGTGCCTTACAAATCAAAACAGCAGAAACAAAAATTTATCCATCCATATGCTTAAGGAGTAGCACAAGTCTGTGAGGATAAGCTGAGAAAATTTAAGACTCAAAACAAGTTAGAAAGTGTAATTAGGGCAAGAAAAATATCTCAGAGCTTCAATCAAACTAAGAAGCAGCCAAAGACAAAAATAGATCTATTACTACACAAAGACAGTAAAAATGAGTGGCAATTCAAGGGTAAAGAGGGTTCTTGTCTTTAAAAAGTGGTGAAAGGAGAAACTGTCAGCCAAACTTTCATATCAGGGAAGCGATTTTAATGAATATTACATACTTAATTTTAAAAGAATCTATAGGATTATTATAGATGATAAACAGTCAATATAGTCTTGTCAAGTTCAAAATATGTCAAAGGAATTTCTTTCCTTTCTCTGACATGATAGCAAGTCTAATAGATAATGAGGAAACAGCAAAGGTGACATATCGTGAGTCTAATAAGGCTTTTGTCCTTTATGATACCATTACAAGCTCTTAAGGGAACATGGACAAGACAAAAGTCACTGTAAGGTAAGTGAACAACTGCTTGAAAAGTCACACGGATCCAGATAAGTAATATTTCTCTCAAGCATTACTTTACTCAGTACATTTCTTGATGTGGATAACAAGTCAGAAAATATGATTTTTAAAAAACTGTAGAAGACAGGGAGGTTATGAATGCTCTGGAGAACAGGATCAAATTCAACTTGATCTTGAAAATTAGAGAAACAGTTTCTGGATACGCATTCTAAATAAAACAGACAAATATGATGCACTCCATTTAGGACACTGGTCATTGCCTGAGCCTCTCCAAAATGCAACAACCTTCATAACAAAGACCAAAACAACAAACTCTTCAAAAAAACTTCAAACTAATGCACCTACACTCTGGTGATATGTCCCTACAGATGCTGCATAGTTTCACATGGACAAGCTCAAGCGAGCAGGGAGCTAGCCTTACAATTTTCCATCATGCTCTGCATGCACAAACAGATACAGTAAAATACAGAGACAGTATAACCTTCCTAGACACTAGGATTGAAGAGGTGGATTTGAAGGTAACGCAATAATTTGAATCAGAGGACTGTAATTCTGTTGTTAGAAAGAAAATATTTTTTAAAAATCATTTTGGCAAATAAAATATATGTGTGGGTGGAGAGAAGACATAATTTTCTGTTCCATTTAAAGCTCAGGATGCCTTCATTATGGAAAACAGCATCTATTTTTGGTTAACACCTTAAGAGAAAGACACAAGGACAGTATGAATGACAAAGAGCTTAGAAACATGAACTACGATGGGAGTCAAGTGAAAAAGAAAAGCTGTTTACATCTTCCCAAGATACAAAACATTCTTGGAAAAAGCATCAAAAGTAGAAAATACTTTCTAGGTGTAAGGAGAACTAATCCCCAGTCATAATATACCTATTTATAAGGCACCATATATAATAGTGTATCAACTACATATAATATAGTATACTACTTAGGTTGTGAAATAGCCTTAACATTTTTTTTTTTAAATAATCAGTATATAAAAATAAAGGATCATCCAGATAGAATTATCTTGCTTTTGAGCAAAGGGAGGGATTATAGTATTTGTATGTTCACTTTCTGCCTGCTATATATGTGGTCCTCAATACAAACCTGTCACTTCCAAATGATGCATAATAATCACAAAAATAGGGTCAAGTGAAATTAACTCGTTACATTTACTTATAGAATATAGCTAATTGCTGCCACTGAGGAACAGAGAATAGCAAACCTGATCAACAATGTCGTTGACTTTATCACGCTCACAGTCCAAAATCACTCGCCTTTCCTTTTTTACCTCTAGATCTTGAAACAGTGAACGGTAAGTTTCATCTTTTCTGTCATTGTTAATATTTCCTACATTGATAGCAGTCACTTGCCATTTCTTTTCAGCAGCAGAATCCAGCACAGCTTGCAGTGTTGATAAGCCTAGTGAAGCAGAGGAGAAAACAAAATATGAGTGATAAAGCTTCAGGAACAACAAGCATCTAGAATGTGATTTATGTGATTACTTATTTAAGATTTCCCTGTAACTTGTTTGACCTGTCACACAATGTTAGGACTTAGAAATGAAGATATATGTGCACCCAATCATTTCATATTGCATAAAATTTCTATTTACATCACTGCAAGGAATCAAGAGTAGGGCCTTGTAAAGACAACCTTCAGGTTTTGCTTCAACCTTCTTCAGAATTGGCTTTTGCCAGTGCCACTAATTTACTGCTGGAATTCCACATACCTGCAAAGAGGTCTTCCAGGAGAAAAGTGATCCAATTACAGCAAGAGTATCAGCTGCTTATTCTGAAATGCTATTGAACTGCTTTTGTTTTCAGCGCTTGAGCAGTACTGTATTGAAACCCAGACTTCACTGATGTCTATGGCAAAATTCCTATGTTCTGCAGTGGTGCTAGTGGAGTTATTTCTGTCACCTACAGTCATATCCCTGATTACAAAAGATGTGAGAAGTATTTTTCCATATAGAAAAGAAGGTTCAATGCTAACACCTACAAGCAGTCTACAGAAGTTTGCTTCCATTTTAACCTTTTGGTACCTGCCTGACAGGAAACTGTAATGTCTGTATATATGCAACTGCCTACAACATATAGTAAAATCAGTGAAGACTTTACTTGATTGGTTTTCCTCTTCAGGAATTAAATAACAGAGTATAGAAACCTGAAAATTACTGCTGGAAATGAATTTTTGCTGTATAACAAATACCATTTTAACAATTTCCAGCAGTACTAGGAATTAGACTTGTTATGTTAAAATTCCTTCCAGAGAATTCTACATAATTCTACAGAACAATTTTAAGGATATCAGATAATATTATAGAAGAAAATTAGACTTTCTCACAAGCCAATTGATATTTTTTTCACACTTGTCTCCTCTGAAACCCAAAACACCAAGAGTCTATTTAGAGACAAATTTCTGACTTGGTATGTAAAAGAAGCTTCAGGTGTAAGTCTCATGAAAAATAGTAGTGTTACGCCCATAAACGTAGAAAGAAAGCACTAAGAATTAATTTGTTTCACAGTTTGTAAATACATCATTAAATTAAGATTGGTCAGTGTTTAGCAATTCAGCTTTATCAGTGAAAATGGTAGTGACATACAGCACTATACTAGACTGGACATCAGCAAAGATAAAAAACTGAAGGCTTCCAAAAGCATAAATTCAGTGATCATCTCAAATAGTTCTGGTTTTCTATGTCATCTTTCAAGAAGACTGATATGAAGTTTTGTATGTCATGCAATTAATATTTATTTTAAAGTAATAGATAACTACAGTCCAATATAAACTATTTATAACATTAAATATTGAGAACTCATGATAAAAGGAAAGGATAATTAATGTAAGCAAACTCAAAGATGTAGGGAATATCTTTAAACATTATAAAGCACTAAAGTCTATACAAAATAATGTTTTAAATGATAATTTAAAGTAGTTAAAAAACCTCACAAAAAAACCCCTCACAAAAATGGAAAAAGATGTAAACTGAATCATTGTTTCAGATCTCATTTCAGGTCCTCCAGTCTGTCTGTATGTTTCCTCTAAGTTAAACAGAATCCCAGTTAGGCATAAATTAATAAAGGCTATTAATGTTAATAATATCCATTACAAAAGTTTTCTATATTTTACTCCTCTGATCTTCCACTTTTCCTAAGGACACCCTTTTCTTAGGGTGTTCTCTGCAGAGATGTCAAATGCCTGCCTGGATTTCTTGCTTTTTATAGGTGGAAGATTTGTCATCCGCATACAGTTTAGTTTATCCTGCTGGCAATAACACACTGCAAAAGAATGAAAAACAAACAAACAAAAGCATTCACAGCAATACTTCTGTGGACCTATCTGAAGAGTGGAAATAGAAATGGGACTCTGCAGAGGAGAAAACTCCAACAAATTCAGTTGCTTTTTGTAAACTGCAGGAATACTTCTGTCTGGGAACCTCATGTGCCTGAAACTCTTTGGTCATCATGAAGACAAACTTTTAATTCAGTGAGCTCTGAAAAGGAGGACTAAACAGAGGCTGAGTAAATTAGTGATTCTGCTACAGATAGAATCCTCCAATTACATCACTACTGTTTCTAAAATTCACTGTTTAGTGAGGAGGCAAGGGGCGTAAAGGACACTAATCCACATTATATGAGAGTAATTGCCATATTAAACCAGTAATAGCTTGGACATGTATATACTGAATGGTCTTACTTCTTATAGAGAGGAATGAGATATGCAATTGCCCTGCAACTTCAACCAGTCAGCCCTTAACCACAGAGGAGCTGTAGAAGTAGCAATAAATGATTCCTTTGGAGTAAGTCATCAAACTAAGTCATATTAGCTTTCTCAGCTTCCATGAAGAGTAAGCCTCTTTACCTTTTTTATCTCACCCCTGAAGGTAGAAACATTTTAAATTACATATCATTCCTTAAATATACATTACCATCACTACATTAACACTTATGCAAAAGTGTTTAGAGGAATTGTGGAACCTGTGTATTCAGGGTTTGATGTCAGTGTTGCTGACCACATACTGCTTGACTCTGCAGGTTAAGCTTGTGCAATCAGTGGGAGCACTGAGGAGCAACAATTTACTCAACATAAAGGCAGGAGCTTCGTGCCTTGGAGCCTGTTATCACTGTGGTGCCTTGCCACAATTAAAACAAGAAAAAAAGGCATAACCAAAAGGTGACTACAAATAGCAATTTAATGCTTTTATTCCTGCCCAAATTCAGACAGTGCAGCTTACAAGAAGAACTAGGTGTTTTTCAGTATTTCCTAAATATAGATCACACACAGGTCATGTACTGCACACTGCTAGCTGATTGACAGAATATTGGCTAAGCAAGTAGTTTTATATCTGTCCTTTCTAAAAGGACAGTGAATGTTTCTGATTCTAAAGTGAATTTGAAAAGGATCTGCCAGAGAAATGGGCTTAGGGTTCTTCATACCCCATGACATTACTGTTGGAGGCTACATTTCAGTACTAGTTTTTCTAACTTTAGTACTTAAAACAGTGATAAAGAACTGTCATGAGGACGTCCCTTCAGCTTCTGAACAACTTAATGTATTAAATGGCATCAGAATGCAAAGAATCTAACGTCACTGCATTACTCGACAAATCGTGGTGTAGTATAACCATCCTTTAAATCTAGTGGTATCTTACCATTTAATGCGTACTTAATATTCAACTCTGATCAATGAATATGTAGGTGAGCAACAAAAGAGCCCTTTTAAAGGGAAGAGGAGAAGGTAAGAATAGAAAATTTAGCCAAGAACTACTAAGTGAGTATAAACTAAAACCAGAATGACAATAATGGAAGTCCACAAAGGGCAGTCAAAAAAACCCCACTTCTGTTTGATGTTACTTCTTCTCAGAACACTAATTGATATTTACAAATTATTTTTCCCAGTTCATAAACTGTTATATTATTAGTACTACAGCCATAAAAGAACATACGACTTGAGGAGGCTGTACGGTGGAGTAAATTGCTTACAAGCAGTGTATTTGGGCTTATTAGCAACAACAACAAAAAAAACCAAACCCTAAGCTCAATAGAGGAGAGGAACTCGAGTAACTATCAAAAGCAGTCTACAAAGAAGCAGGGACTGCATCCAAGATTCTTGCTTGCTTGGTGCCCAACTATTGATTTTGCATGTGTGGAGTGAATCCGTGATAGCAGACTGCCCTTCATGCTCAGTTTTATTTCCCCTCAGATGATTCTTTAAAAAAAGAAAAAAACTTTTCATAGGAATTTGTTTTACAACATGTAATTAATCTCATATTGCTTATTAGTACATTCTTGCAATTCTATTAATATATACTGTACTAATTTCATTCACATTTAAATAGTTTTTCTGTCCCAAAATCTCATTTCTAAATTTAAGCTTACACTTACACTTGATACTGGGAAATATTCCTTTACTTGTTTACTTTCCTAATACTAACTCAGCATTTTGGCAAGATGTATCTAGCAAACAATGTGCAGATAAAAAGTACCATATCTTACCTCTGTCACTGTCATACAAATATGCAAACTTGGTCCACTGATAGTATTCGATTAAGCTAAGAAGAGCTCCCTTGAGGTCAGGTCTCATCTGAATGACAAAGGGATGCGTTCCATCTGTTGGGAAGCTGGGAGTTATGAAGGAGACATGAAGAGTCCCACAGAATGATGTTATGGTATTTACAGACTTCTTGTCATAGAATCCAAAAATAGCAAAGACTCCTCTTGAAAACTGGGAGCAGACTAGGACAGAGAAAGAAAAACAATTAGGTGAGAGAATTTTTTCAAAATATTTACTGAAAACTCTATCAGGTAAATATTTATGAGAAATAATGAAAACATCTAATCGTATAAATACCAAAAGCAAACAGTAATACTCTGCTATGGAGATTATTATTTGTTAGTATTATTAATCATTAATATAAAGATTCCACTAGAAACAGCAACAAAAACCCCTTACAAATCAGAGACATGATTCACATTCCTAGACAACCAAATTAGAACTAAAACTCACCAAGTTATTCTTAAATTTGAATTATAGGGTAAAGAATAGTGATGCAAGCATCAGTGGTAGCTGTGATTTATAAAATGAGTCATTATGACCACACACAGTATTATGGAAATAGATAATATTTTGTCATGTTAAAAACAAATTGGCTCTGAGGTCAAGACTCGCTGAGCTTTTTGCAAAATACCTTAAATAACCTTCCATTTGGGGATATATAAAGCCAAAATTAGAAGCAAATTTATTAACGGCAGAAAATTAAGAAGCTGATTTGTTTTAAACCCCTTGAATTTCAAGGTGTTGATTTAATTCCTGCTCTGCAGGGCTCAGCAAAAGCTAGTCCTTCTAGATGACACTTGCGGTTACGCTGCAGAAAGAATAACCTCACAGGCGTAAATAACAGGCTGATTATTCACTTTTTATCACTGGAGACAATTCAAACCTATTGATGAACGCTACTGACCACTGCAGCCTGTGTAAAAGAGCTAGTTCTGGTTTATTCTCTTCTTTGACACTGCAGGCTATACTATTGCCTATGTTCTAGAATGAGGGAACAGTAAGGAAATGTTCATCTCTGACTAATTCTCATTTATAACCTATACATTCTTTGGTTTGCACATAGTCACCTTGAACAAGAGACATCTTGCTAGAGAAAGCATCTAGTCAGCCTCATGGCAATCCCTGCTATACCTGACCTGCTTATAGATAGAAATCACAGTGTAATTGAAGCTATTTTTGCCCAGCTATTTATTGCACTAATCCTTGAATATAATATACTATATACACTAATCCTTGAATATAATTCACTTAAGGTCAAAACTAAGCTGACTTATCTTTAAAATTTCTCAGACTTGAATTAATAATACAGTATTTTCTCTTTTAAAGTAATCACATCTTTATTTATTTTTAAAAATATCATCCCTTTATGCCTATTATTATTCACCGCTATGCTCTTTTCATGGCTTTGCCTATCTAGCTTTGCTACCACAGTCATCTCTCACATCCTAATTACTTCTATACACCCAATTAAAAGCACCTAAGCAGCATGGGTGAAATTTTGAGTCTGCCAGTTTCAACAGTTATCACCTATTGACTTTAATTAGGTCAGAATTTCACTTTAGGTGACAGAATACAAGCGATTAAAAAACTTGATGTGTTTTTTGCAAAAGGATGCTTGCTGCAGGTTTTTCAGGGCTAGGGTACAAGATGGTCATACCTCTTCCATTCCAACTGCAAATTATTATGCAAAGTTTCAATATTTATCCCAAGTCCATTAAGGCTATAACACTGCTCATGTTTAACAAAGGTTTCTGAAAAAGGCTGTGAATTTTCTGAATAGCTTTTCTGTTTAAGTTACTGGAACTCCTTGTTCTATTCCAAATCACTATGCCCTCACTGAGACAAAACCAACTTACTACCTCCCCACACACTCATGAACAATTATTTCCCATCTGCAGCAAAGGCCAACTGAACTTGCTTCAATAAAGGCGTTAATGTCTCATAATCCACCTTCAAAAATACTCATTAAAATAAAGTACCAGTTTACATTTGGATCCCTGAGTGAGAATTCTGCAGAAGACTGTTATTGGCATGCTGATGCTGCATATAAGGTGACAGAAACAACAAACCAGGATCACTGAAAAATAAAAAAAATATGCCAGTATTGACGACTCCTAGGATGCTATCACATCTCCTGTCACACTTACTGCTTTTCTTCAATCACTAGTCAATGATTTTAGGCATAGATAAATAACATTGCTTATAATAGCCAACAACCAGGGCCAGCTGCCTGCACCAGAAAATTTGAAAACCACAGGTGATGCCTTCTCAGAAGCACCACTGCCATTCCTAATAGAGAAAAGCCTGGGTCTTTGGAGCACTGTACTCCAGTCCCATGTCTTGGTTCCTTTCCTCCGCATCCTTCCCTCCTCTATCTGACAGTGGAGACATTTGGATTCTCGGGCCTTGGTTAAACATCTTTGGGGTAATAAAGTTCAATCTGTCCATGCTATTGGGAAGTTTGAGTTAAGGCTCTGTCCTGGCTCCCTAACTCACATAACTAAATAGTTCTCAACTTCTGTTTAAAATACACTACAGTTGGAAAACAAACAAATAAACAAATTCACACAAAAAAATCACAATTATTTGCGATGGTGAACAAAAAAAGCCCAGATTACTCATGCTAGGCTTCAAGCATGAAATGGGATTATTAAAAGGTGGGCATGTACTGGATGGAGTTCTCTTTCCATATAGCAGTCTGTACGGTGCTGTGTTTTGGATCTGTGGCCAAAAAGTATTACTAACACACCAATGTTTCAGCTGTTGCTGAGGGGTGCTTACACAGCATCAAGGCTTTCTCTGTTTTCCTCTGCCCATCCCAGCAAGGAGGCTGGTGGTAGGCAAGAAGTTAGGAGGGGACACAGGCAGGCCAGTTGACCCAAATTGTTAAAATGGATATTCAATGCCAGGTAACATTATGATCAGCCATAAAACTGTGGTAGAGGATGAAGACAGTGGGGGGTCTCTGACTTACAAGGTGGCTGTTGCTTGAGACCAGATGGGCATCGCTCCACTTGTGGGAATGGGTGAATGACTGCCTCTGCATCACTTATTTTTTCTCTTTCCTTCACTTATTAAAATGTCTTTATCTTGACCCACAAGTTTTCTTACTTTTGCATTCCCTAGTCTCTCCTCTGTCCACTGAGGACAGGGGGCAGGGAGTGAGTGGCTGTGTAGGTGCTTGGCTACTGGTTGGTGTCAACCCATGACAGGGTAAAAGGTGTTACTCCACCTTCCAACCACAGGACAGACCTGTTAATACCCCTGGCCTGTGCCAAAATGGAGGAATTAGTTCTGTACCTTTATAGTGGTACAAACATTCATCCAGTCCACGCTCTTCAGAAGACAACTGCTGCTCTTTCCAAGTAATCATCCCTGACATGACACAAAGTCATACCACCTCTCTTCACTAGTTACTATTGATCAAACACAGTTCTCTTGGATTAAAACAGCAAACAGCTCTCCATTTAACAGACTTTACACCTGGTAAACAATCAATCTTTACATGTATGTGTGTTCTTCTGGTGAAAGCAGGTAAAACTGGAATTTTGATCTCCTCTCCTGCACAAAGTGAAAGACAAATAAAAAGCACCACCTCTAGTAGAGCAAATCAAGTCACTGCAGTTCTAGCTACTTACAGGAGTTGCAGCTTAAAAGCTGAATTCCACATACATGGAATCCTGACAATATGATAAAAGCAAAACCTTTTTATTTTAAAAGTTATTATGAAACCTGCCACACAGACATAAACTGTCATGTAATCCAGCCAGGGCCCCCTGAATGCAAGATAAAAACTTTCTAATACAAATCTTGAAATTAAGGACATAACACACACTAGCAAATATTAAGCTGTGTGGGTCAGCCAGAAAATCAGGATCAGCCTTAATCCAAGTAAAAACAAATTTTAATTCAAAGTGATCAGTGTCACAGGCATACGCTGAAAAACCTCAGTGCTGTGCTTTTGTGTGTGAAACTCCTCTAAAGATAAGTGGGATGGCACCTATGCCATGTAATAAAATCTGCTAAAAATAAGCATTTAGACTTTGTCTCAAGACAAATGCTTGCAATTGTTCTGGGGCATTTGGTCTCTCAGGGGTAGGAGGGAAAAGAAGGGATGATATTTCCAAATATATAATGGTGATCTAGTGGATAATGCAGAAAGTGTAATTGCTTTTGGCAGGATTCCCACCTTAGTTAAAGTCTGCAGTCATGTTATTGCTGGGAGACATTAGTTTTAAAATGGTGAATCACAAGCTCTTCACAGTTATTAGATTTAAAAAAAAAAATCATGATGATTAGGACTCATAAGCCATTGAAACATGAAAGATTTATTTTATTAAAGACATGAGAAGCAACTGCCAGGATTCATTTCTTTCAAGCTCTTCTAGATGAACTGTTTTTCCTTGGGTTTATGCTGTCCTTCCTAGAAATAGTCAATGACCTACTTAGCAACAAGAGGGCAAGAATATAGTAAGCTCATTTTGTGATCATTTTTTTTAGAGAGACTCACCTAGCATGGCAAATAACTGGGAATTCCAAGAAACAGGGTAAATTATTAAAGGTACCAGAGAAACAATAATTCCAGTAAGTTTTGTTATAGTGAAGAATTAAGTATTTTATATCTGACTTCTCCTTGTTCTTCTACTAACATAGCCAGGCAAAAAAATAGTTTGCTCTTGTTTTCCAGAATTCTGAAAATATGTCCTAATCTTTTCTTCCAAAGTCTAGGGCACAGATTTGTTCAGCAACAAAATTAAGCCTAATCCTGCAATGAGAAATAGGTGCCTTGTCAAAGGAGGGCTAAAACTACTTTCTCAATTATTAACTCTTCCGTTGTTAATTACATCAGTTTCTTCTTAGACCTCTTTTTTACTATGATGCACTCATACCTTTCTCTTTCACACTTTCTCCATTTCACTATCCTGCTTTGGCAATGATAAGTGACACTATCTTGTTTTGTCAATAATATGTGATGCATATCATTTTATACCTACAACTCAAAAAATGACAACTGAACAGTACATTTGAAAATTTAAAATATAAAATATTACAAATGTGCTTAGCTTTACACAATTAAGTGATGCCAGTTTAGGAATCATGTTAATTTTCATGACTGAAGAACTGAATCTTTAGAAGCATAAAATCACTTAGAAATAGTTGCATTTGAATGAATATGCTTAGAAACTATTCCTGATAAAGTCTTCCTAAGCCAAGACTTCCCTTCCAAAGAGAAAGTAATGAACCTAATAATTGTTTACATTCAGGGACAATTAAATGAGAAAATTAGCAAAATGCTCATTTAACTTACTGAAACAAATGTCTAATAGTACCTGCATCAGGTAGGTTTCCAAGAAGTGTTATGACTCCTAACATTCTCTTCCATTTATATATTTTTATTTAGAGTTTTGATACTTGGTTTCTGTCCAAATTTTAAATTTAAAATGACTGCGAAAGTTTTGCTGTTCAGTGCTTAGATTTTAATTGCTGTTTGGTATTAATGTGGTTTTATATGTTATTTTATTATACTAACCCTGTTTGCTATAGTTCTAACAAAACTATTTTAAAATTAACATAGGGAAATAAGTCTTCAGTGCATATTACTTAATCACACCCAATAGAATAATCATTCTCTTACTTCTAAGAGAAAGAAAATACAGCACAGTTGTAAAGATTAAGCACTGCCTCTGCAAAAAATTACCAAAACACAAGGGAAACTCTCATTGGTCTGAAAAGTTGATAGATCAGCTGGAAGTAGCCAGGAACAAGTAGCGGAAACTGAATGCTCAGTTGGTAATATCAGCTTCTGAACAGCAACATTAAGACCAAGCAGACAGTAGAAAAGAACCACAAACAATAAATGGAACAAAAATAGCAAAAAATAAGCAAGAACTACAGCTGCCAAAAGAATTCACATATGATTGAAACTGCATCAAAAAATAACTATTAAAATAAAAACCGATATAGATTGGTTCCAAAGCCATTAAGAAAATTGCAGCATAGCAAAAAGCATATGGTACACACTTTCACAGACTAAATTTTTTTTTGTACAATGTTATATATAATGTGCATGGTCTGGTTTACCCATTCAGATTATACTGTTGGCTTCTAGATGTGAGGAGTAAACTTCTCTTCAGGAAGAGTGAATAAGGCATAGGGAATCCCATCAGTCCATTCAAGGTGTTATTTAGAACCATGAAGGAGTATGTATTTAAACAGCACAACTTGAGATGAAGTTACTTTTTCTAGGGCCATGGTAGGCTAATTAAAATTGGGAAAACACAGTTGCCCAAAGCTCAAAGAAGAGCATAATAACCAAAAGATAAGACAATGGACCAAAGCTTCATTCTAGGATTCAATAAAACACGGACAAAGAAAACCAAATAAAGGCTGGCATTTTAAAATCCCAAGATACCCTTCACCAAAGATGAGAAGCAAATCAATGCCAATTAAAACATCAGTGGCAATCAGAACTAAAAATATGCTATACTTCTGGGTAACAAGACACTGAATTACACAGAAAAGACTTTCCTTTTTGTATCTTTTTGCAATTTTTAATTCCAGTGCCAATAAATGTGGATTTTTAAGTTATTATGAGCATTTAAGAAAATCTTCATGTCTGGAATTACAGCCATTCAACACTGATCTGAACTGTGTATTTTTCTTTTGCAGGCTGTACATATATACATACATACATCATGGTAAAAAAAAAGACTTCACTGATAAGCTCACACACAAAAACAAAGAATAAAGTGCACCTCATTAATACTTCAGTGACGAGTTCCTCACCCGTACATTCAGCATTAAAGCACAAAATACAACTTAGAGCAACAGCCAGGCAGGTAGCAAACAAACAATCTGTAACAGAAAGGGGGTCTCAGTTTTGCACAGACATGACTAGAGGCCCCTCACAGCCTGAGAGGGCCAAAAGCAAAATTTAAATCCTGAGGCTGGAATGCATGTAGAGGACAATTATGGTAGAGCAGGTACAAAGGATGTTTTCCCACCTTTTCTGGCAAATGCATGGTCTTCAGTTATTGCTATGAGCCAAACTGTCTGTTCAGAGATTATGCGACTGAATGGAACTTTCCACATCATGTTATTAGCAAAAGTGGCTTTGATCACTGTGCAAAATAAGAGTCAAAACCTGGGTTGCCGCAGTACAAAACAAGCTCAAAGACAAGAGGAGAAGTAGATTATTCTATTTCAACCAGTCAATCATAATTCACACTGAGGAAAGAAACTTTGTGCCAATATGGGATATTTTAAGCAAGCACAAAAAAGCCTTCAAGAAGTTAGTGGCCATCTGTTAGGAAAGTACATGATGATATGGCACAGCTTCTCTATATGCTAATGCTGCAATAATGAAGATGGTAAATAAACATCCTGTTCAGATTGAAACAGGTCAGAGAAACAGCCTGTTTCAATGACAGTCACATTCAATTACATATTGCTTGGCTGTGTACAGTAAGCATTTGAAAATCTTTTTCATTGCTAGGACAATTACCATGATGCAAAAGAAATCATTGCAAAACACCACTGAAAGAATCATGTTAAAACAATTATGCTTTTATGAATAAGATTCCTGTAATAAAATTAAAATGCAATTCAAGTCTTCTCATGAAAAAAATTGCCCATATTCCAGACAATTCTTACACAGTTCTTCCTAGAACTCTTAGGATCCTATTGTATTTGTCTAAATTCCTACTACTGACAGCTGAAGGAGATACAATGCTTCCTGAACCCTGAATCTGGTAGCCTGGCAACTCTGTTAAATAACAGAAATAACATTATTTGTCTCCAAAAAAAATATTGTCTCTAAAATCAGTACATTCTTCAGGAAGCTTCTCTCCCTTGCCTCCCTTCTTTCTCTCATCCCACCACCTCAGATAAAAACCATGCTAATTCCAATTAATTACCTAAAATTTAACTAATTTATTTCCTTTAAATCTAAGAATTCACCTTGTAAATCTTCCTGTCCAGCTTTCTGACTATGTAGCTTTCCCAAAAATTATAACCTTGCAGTAACACAAAATTGTGAGTGTCTGACAAAGTAAATGTAGAAGCAAGTAATCAAAGCTGAGAAGAGACGACTGGTTTTACAGAGCCATGCTGCAAGTCATGGAGAAGTCATCTCTTTCAGGGCCAGGCTCTTAGTTTGTGTAATCAGCATAATTCTACTGAATTTAACAGAGCAAATATAATTTATACCAACTAAAAATGCAATTCTCCATTTTTAGCATGACCATTTTCACAAACTTTTCAAGACAGAAATGTTATATGCAACAGAATGCTCATCATCTCCTCTTCTCCTTGATCAGCATTGCTGGAAGCATCCCTTTTCTACATTTCATTAAACTAATCATCCTCCAGCTC